CTTTTTTCGCCACTGGAGGGTTCAGATCGCGAGTGCTATCTCTGTAAATAGCATAGTAAGCATTTCGAACATTGATTATATAACATTACCTCCACTGTGTCTATAGCTCTCTCTACTCGTGGGACAGCCATATTCTTGAGGAAGAGGTGTTTCGGGATTGGATGTCTTCTCTTCTTCAGCTGGCAGTAGTCATCTTGGGAGAAGTGAGCACTGCAGACCCGATGGTCTGCAAGGCGCAGTGTCTGGACAGGAGTGTTAGCATCCATTTGTAGCACAACTAGCCAAAACTTAAGCATCTAGCAGTCCGAAAAAGGCAACCTATGAAAGATGTAAGGGGTGTTGAGCGACATCCTGTTCTTGCAATTCGGATAAGCACAAACACGAACCATTGTTTTCAATGGAGTTTAAAACTCTCAACTGTACTCTCAACTGTACTCAGGGACAACCAGCGCCACTCTGAGCGGTGCTCAGCATGGCTCCTCCGTTTTCTTCCGGCAATAAGCAAAGCTCTCGCGAGATGACGTCACAGCCGGGAGGAGGTGAAGGGTCAGGGAAACGCTTAGTATGCTATCTACAGAGATAGCACTCGCGATCTGAAACGGTCAGTGGCGAAAAAAAAAAGCACTTTTAATGCACAAACTTATACGGGACGCATTTGCCCCCATTACCGTTTTAGCTCATTTTGCGGCTGCCGGCTGCATCCGCCTCCCTCAATACTGAACCAATTTTAGAACAAGTTGTACCTATGAATCATACGCACACATACACATGGGGAAATAGGGCCCAGGTTGAAAAATACCGAAGTTATCCTTTAATCATACCTTGATATTGTTGAATTCTGTGCTACCTCGTAAAATCTAAGTTAGAGATGGTGCTGATTTAAGTAAAGTTTAAGGTAAAAATGTATTTAGCTATACGACAGGCACAAGACAATCTTGAGCTCAGAGCTGAGTGATGCAAATGTCTAAAATGAGGGATACTTTAGCTTTACAGGTCTTTACAACACAAGTTCAGCTTTCTCTGTTCGCTGCCTTTTAACATCTGACTAAGCAAATGATTTGCTACAAACCACTGACATGTAAACATCTACCACAAATCCCTCAGCAGCAGCCAGAGCTTTTCAACTGCAAACTGTCAAGGTCAGACTCATCGTTTGTTTTCATCTGCACAAAACCCACAAATCCAGGCAGACTCACACTGGCTGGTATGCTTCTCTGCAGAAGGTGAGGCTTATGTTTAGTCATCTAGAAGCATCATAACTGCAATTAAATACCACATGTTATTGTTAAAATACTGAATAAGCTCCCTGAAAGCTAAGGGACAAGATGTCTTTCAGGCCGTACCACACATCTAATATCTGCTGAATCTTTTAGTGACAAAAAAAAATCAGGTGTTATGGAAGAAGACTGGCTCAGACAACATTTTCGTCTTTGTGCCAGTACTGCCATCATTTCCTTTTTCTCTCTCCCTTATTCCCTGATCTCAGTCAGTCCATCTGTTTCTACCTTCCATACACCAACCACCCAGAGCTCTGCCCTGCTGTCGCCTGCACTTTACGAGTGTTTTGAGTTTACAGGCTCCATCAGTAACTTTGTGGGACTGGCCCACAACAACATATGCACACAGTATTGATTTAGGCCATTAACAACTTTTGGGTTATATAAAGACAAGGAGAACAACAGAAACAACACTGAAACATTATTTTTTATAGATGAGAGCCTTTTTCAGTCTCAAAGAAACTGAGGACATGACTCCAAAGACAAAATACAACTCAACATTCATCTGCTGCAATTAAGCATACTTAAACTACAGTATTGTCTTCTAATCTCAGCACCATTATGTCTCATATTACATTGAAAGCTTCCAATCATTTAACCTTCCTTTCAGTATTGCAGCTTATTATGGGTCAAATACTTTTTTGTACCTTTCCGCCTGACAATGAATTCAAATTTGGCAGGGACCAGTGAATCCAGGCTGATGTTAATCAGGTCAAGGCCTGCTTCTTTCAGCTTGGGCAGAAGCCTGGCCAAGTTTATGCCGTTGGTTGTCACCGCAATGGTTTTCAGGCCCTCCAGCTTCCTCAGTTCTGCTGTAGAGGGAGAGCAAACATGAGAACAAGGAAGATGAAGAAAGAGGGAGAGAGTGAAACACAAAGAAAAAACTGTGGTGTTTACACCCAGTATCTGCCAGGTGTGACTGTGGCATAGCTAAATGAGCTAACAGACTAAACGTTAGTTAGCTTGCTTATATATGAACCATTTTGATTGAAGCGTAAAAGTGGTATGAAAATGACTGTCATATCTGACATGACACTTGACCAAAAGCTGGCTTTATGATGACAAAACTGAGATGACCTTAAAGAGTGATAGCATTGCACTCCTGTAACACTGTTGAACTCACAAGGGGCAGTTTTTCATTTTCTCCCTGAAGCCACAAAAGCCTTTATAAAACTTTTTTGTTCACAAATGCAGTAGAACTCACCAAGACCTGCAACTAGACTAAAATTGCTGATGATCCCTTTCATTACATTTCACAAAAATAACAGAATATAACTCAAATTAGAACATGGCACTCTTAAATACTTGATTCTGATTGGTCAATCAACAAAATTCTGCGGTGTTTATTTCTTGAGGTATCACCGCTGTTCTGCTGCTCTGCTGCTCTGTTGCTAGGGATGCCATAGCAACAGCCTTAGACTGAGGAGCATCAAAATCAGTCAACGTTAGTCCACACAGGCCAAATAGGATTGGAGTGGCATGGATACAGAGTACAGACACATTTCTTTTTGCAAATTTTGAATCAATAAAACGTGCTTTAACATGCTCCAGTTATTTTTCAACAGTTACCAGCTCACTATACATTATCCCTTACTTATTAAGTATGCAAATCTACTAATGCTAAACTATATTACCTTAAAGTCCCTCTCCGGACATGTTTATACTTAAACAAATACTAATATTCTTTTTAACAGTTTTCCCATATGATAATCAAAAAACAACCCCTGAAAAGGTCCCGGAAGAAGATTTCCTAGTTCTCTCTCATTATGAAATGTGATTAAGTTTCACTTTCACTTTCAGCTCTCTCCAGCGCCTCATGTGCTAGGTTGACTGGTGAAAGAGCAGCCTGCATCAGGAGGCTAGCGTTAGCATTAGAGGAAACATCAGAGGGATTCAACCATACATGTTTGAACATGTGCACAAAAGTCAGTGACTAGAAGATGTGTCAGAAGAGCAAGTATAATTAGCATCTTTTTTTATGTTGTTTGTTAGCCTGTAGGCTAACAGGCAGTGGCAGACAACAGCATTAGTAGTTCTGAAACATACAATAATATCTGCTGCAATTAAGGTTTCGTTAGACAGTGGAAGGAAGCTCCAGGGTCCTGTTAACACCCAAAAACTGTACACTCCACCATGTTTGCTGTCAGAATGTTCATAATGCTAATGCTAACTCAGCTCTTTGACAAGTTCGCTCTGTGCTGGAGGTTTCAGGTTTCTTTGCCAGTGCTGGGTCGAAGTCTGTTCTCTTTATATGTTTCCTTTATTAGACAGCGACTGGTTTTCATATTAGTGACATGGCGTATATTTAAATCTCATATTTTAGGGAAGGCACAGATATCGCCCCCTGCAGAAGAGTAATGTGAAAACACCTCTTCAGTGACAAACTTTGCACAACTTTGTAAGACATTTAAGCGGACACAAACAGAAGGAAAACACTTGTTTGAGAGGGGTGGGACTTCAAGGGGATATTTCCAACTCACTTTAAACTGTACAAATACCACCAACTCTTTACTAACCAAGTCTTTACAACCAAAACATTTCTTGTTAAGGCGTTTTATTGACGCAACTAGTAAATTATGAGTTTTAAACTAGCTAGTAGTTACTGCAAACCTTAAAAAGACTTAACACGCAAGCTTAGGAATTAATGAATAGTTGAGGTAACCCAACTCAGGTGAGGTAATACGTGAGCTAAACTTCATAAAACTGGTGACTGCCCTCACCAAAGAGATAATCACTGAATGTACATCTGTTTCCTGCATCCTAGCAAAGGAGCTCATCACTGATATGTGGAAAAAGCTTCACATAGCCAAACCCAAAATGACACTGTCATGACTGTCATGGTGCAGCCCATCCCAAAAACACCTACTCTATTATCTATTGTCAGAAAAAAACAAATACAGCGGATCAAAAGTAACTGTCTCAACTTAACGCAAATTATTCCCTCCAAGAAACTTTAGTTAGGGTCATGTGAGGTCACAGTGGAGGCTCTACACATGACCGAGATAAATGCTGATCTTTATGGGGCTGTTGGCAGCCAATGATCTTCTTTCTACAAAGACACTGACCATTGGTCACGCCACATTACTTTGTTCGTTCATGCCGTGTTTTACTGTCGCTCACACAAGCAGTATTGTCTGAACATGATCCTCAGTGGCCGAGGCTGCAACAGTTAATCGACAAATCAAGCTGTGAAATTAAAATGTGATAATGTGTCATTAGACTAAGCACATGGCTGTGGTGTAACAAATTATTTTAACTTCCACAAGTGGGTCTTAACCTGAAGGCATGCATGGAAAACCTATCCGGCTCCTGTCCTCTCTGTCCTCTCTGTCCTCATATCACTTAGAAAAGCTTTAATCAAGTCATCAGGGTTAGAACATGCAAACCAAATGCTGAATCATTTCTCTGGAAAGACTGTCACTACACCCACTGAGTCATATGGTAAACCGTATAATTGTGTTTGCCACAATTTGGTTACAGGTGTTAAAAACAACTCAAAGCAGCTTTCTCGCTTAAACACCTGTGTGGGCATTAAGGGTACTGTTCTTAAGTGGTTTCAGTCCTACCTCTCAGATAGGAGCTTCTCTGTCCAGCTGGGCCAGTATTCTTCAGCCACTTCCCCCCTGAACTGTGGGGTACCACAGGGTTCTATTTTGGGCCCCCTCCTCTTTTCAATATATATGTTGCCAATGGGATCCATATTTAGAAAGCACAATGTCTCATTTCATTGCTTTGCAGATGACGTACAAATCTATCTGCCTTTAAAAACAAATGAGCAAGCCTCTGTTCAAGTCTTATTAGACTGCCTCAATGACATCTGATCTTGGATGGAAGTGAACTTTCTCTCCATGAACAAAAATAAAACTGAGATTATTTTATTTGGCCAACAAAATCTGTTAGATGGGTATGACAGCGCCATTGGCACCCTTAAGTCTCACTGCCACCCTTTTGCAAGGAACCTTGGTGTTATTTTAGACAGTGACTTTAGGTTTGATAAGCAGATAAGCTCTATTGTCAAAACGAGCTTCTTCCAGCTAAGACTATTAGCAAAAGTAAAGGCATATCTCCCCCGAGATTATTTTGAGAAAGTTATTCACACCTTTGTTACATCACGCCTAGACTACTGTAACTCTTTGTTTGTTGGTCTTGACCAGTCAGCACTGCGCCGTTTACAGGTAGTCCAAAATGCAGCTGCCCACCTGCTGACTGGAAAGAAACGGCGTGATCACATTAGTCCTGTCCTTGCATCTTTGCACTGGCTGCCTGTTAATTTTAGGATCCAGTTCAAGGTTTTATTAATTGTTTTTAAGTGTTTAAATGGTCTGGCACCGTCTTATTTATCAGAGCTTGTACAGCCTCACAGTACTTCTAGAGCACTTAGGTCGTCAAACCAGCTGCTCCTGGCACTACCTCGGTCCAGACTCTCTACTCGTGGGGACAGAGCCTTCTCAGTGGTGGCCCCAAAGCTGTGGAACAGCCTACCATTCCAGGTTAGAGCTGCACAGTCTGTTGAGCACTTTAAAACATTACTGAAAACCCATCTTTTCTCCTTGGCGTTCAGTCCCTGCTAGGCAAGAATCCTTGGCTTTTACTCTTTTTACTCTTTTATTTCCCTTTTTTAATCTAATTTTTAGTTTTTTAAATTGAGCCCTTACTATTTCCTTTGTTTTATTTATTATGATATTTGTGTATGATTAATTTATTTTTCAATAACTGTACAGCACTTTGGTCAACTGAGGTTGTTTTTAAATGTGCTTTATAAATAAAGTTTGACTTGACTTTGACTTGACTTCTACATCCTGGCTTTACAATTTAAAAAAAGAAACCACAATCTCATGGACAATCAACTCAATTCTTTTTACAAGTTTCTTACCGATGATATCCAACACGTCGGGTCTGATGAGGGGCTCTCCTCCAGTGAGGCGGATTTTCTCCACCCCCTCCTGGACGAAGAGACGAGCCAGGGTCAGTACCTCCGAGGTGGACAGCAGCTGGCCCCGTGGTGTAAGCTTCACCCCCTCCTCTGGCATGCAGTACTGACCTGAAAATGGGAAGATGGTGAAATGGTGACAGGATAACAAAGATGCAATGTGCCACTCAACAGATGCTTTTATCCTGCACTGTCACAAATTCATGTATCTTCCAATAAGTGCCTTGTTATATGAGTGCCACAGAGGTGGCTCTACTTATATCATAACAGTATTATAATATTAACCTAGAGATGAGTATTTTTTTCTGTGGTCACAATTTATCTGAATATTTAAGATGGCAACTAGTACAAAAATCAATAAACTTTAAATACAATGAAAATGCTTATACTGTTGTTCTTATCCTTTTTTTGCATGCCACTGAGTTATTTTACATTTCCAATATGTTAAAAAGTTGAATTCTAGATTGAATCTCATCTCAGAGAGAAATTAAAAAACTAGGCAGCCAGATATGATTGTACATAAAAACATGCTCAATAACCTGCCCACTTCAAGTTGATTAGAGAAAATTCCCATGGATATTTCTTAACAAATAAACCCTATTGTGTCGCGCTTCATCACATACAAGCTGGACCTGTATATAATTTACTTTGCTTATTTTACTTTTACACTTTTTGGATATTTGCAGATGATTCCAGCCTGATGACAGTCTCCTGTACCACCACTATATCTCTGTGCCAGGCCTACTTAGATTCCAAGGTACTCAATATTTTCATAGAGACAAGCGCTGATGTTGGATAAACTTAACTTTTGTTAGTGCTCCATATAATTTTGCTACAAAATGTCATTCCATTTGAATGCTAAAAAATTCAGATGAGGAAGAGGACTTGACTTGTCGTCAGAAAAAAAATCAATTCCATTTAAAACGACTATGTTTCAAACATCACTTTTACATATTCTGCTAATTCATCCTTTTTATAACAAAGCGTCATGATGTTTGACATAACTGTTAGATAGATAGACAGACAGAGACAGACAGACTATTTATCCTTGTATTCTGCTGTACAAAGGCAAAAGACATTAATTTCATTTTGGTCAAAAATGACTTTTTGCCAATTTTGTAACAATAAAGACCCGCTCTGCCATGTGGATAAATATTCCATGCCTCAAGTGTTGTTTTTTGTTGAACAAAAAAACTGTAGAGAAACCAAGGCAACATCTCTAAACTTCCCTTAAGGTTTTCTGGCTTTGTTGCACTGTGCTTAGCTGCACTTCATTTATCCACACGTAACTGTTTTTGGTGTTGCAACTCGAAATGTGACGGTTAGGACAAAAAATATTGTAAAGTTTGGTCCTGGTGACGTGAGTTGGTAATGTACCATCAAAAGACAATCAAAGTAAAGTGGTTTAAAAAAAAAAACCAAATAAACACTAATTGATTGATTATCCTTGTTTGTAGGCTATTATATTGAGAAGACAGTTTCATTACATATCACTAGATACTATCCAGGTTAGAATTATTATCATACAGTATATTGCTTATAGGGATGCACCGAATATTCGGTAACTGAATATATTCGGCCGAATATTGCAAAAAAACACACATTCGGTATTCGGTGGAATAAATTAAAAGCAAGGCCGAATAATAGCGGCACGGTTTTGATAATGCAATCAAACAGCGTGCCGTGACGGGCGGATTAAAATGTCGGCAGTGTGACGATCCATCCGTCACCGCACTCGCATTTGCGACTAAAAATAGTTTTGAGCGCGCAAAATAGGCTTAAATCATTCAGCACGCTGTGCGAGCAGCCTACAGATTTCAACCAGCAGCAGAAACAAAAGGCGAATCCCACCAACTGTGGGTTGAACGGGGGTCACAGACACAGACAGTAACGTATTCCTGTCAAATACGGGGCCATCGTCTTACCAGCGAGGAGAAGTCGGCTCCAATAATATCCTCTTCTTGGCGTGTGGACTGCCCAGAAGTACCTGAACAGCTGAGCCAGCGGAACACAGGTACAGTATGTGACGTATCAGAGGAGAAACGAGCCGTTCACGGCCCACAAACCTCACCGCACTTTAGGGACTGTTCTTTACTTATGAAGGGGCCGTCAGGGGAGGAGGGTGGCTGGTTGATTCTTATTTTATTTATTTATTTTATTTTGATCCCCACTATGTTAATCATTTATTGATGCTGTTTTTGAAGTATGAATAAGTCAATAAGTAATTTATTCCATTGAAATATCATTGATGTATTATAGAAAAGTGATTTATCTTTTCATAAATGACAAAAGGCACATCTGCCTCATTTTCACTGTGGTATCGTGATACTACTCAGAACCATGATATTTTCATTTATATCATACAGTGGGATCCAATTTTGGTACCGTGACAACACTAATCTGGAGGGGGTTCATCTGCAAAAACTAATGAAAAACTAAACAATGATATTCGGTATTCGGTACTCGGTATTTGGCCAAGTGTTTAATATTATCCGGCTTCGGCTTCGGCCACAAATTTTCATTTCGGTGCATCCCTAATTGCTTACTGTAATCAACGACAAAGTGAGAGATTAAAGGGATAGTGCACCCAAAAATGAAAATTCAGCCATTATCTATTCACCCATATGCCGTTGGAGGCTCAGGTGAAGTTTTAGAGTCCTCACATCTGCGCACGAGACCAGCGAAAGCATGTGAACACACATGAACGCGGTGCCCATGTCTCACGGTCTCGCGCAAGCGCGCACACGTGAGCATGGTGCACAGAGAGGCAGTTAGAGCTACAGGCTCCTATGAGGCTAAAAACAGAGTTCAAATGACGTTTTTTCCAAACAACTTAGTATGGAGATATTCTGTGGTTTCAATTATGTGATTTTGGACGTTTGAATCTGGGGCGCCGTCAGCCTCCATTAGGCGGAGTTGTGTTTCTACCCCCTCTCCCCTGGGATCTCCGCAAGGGATGTGAGGACTCTAAAACTTCACCTGAGCCTTAATCGGCATGAAGGTGAGTAGATAATGGGTGAATTTTCATTTTTGGGTGCACTATCCCTTTAAATGGAAGTTAATGCCTGTTGCCTTGGCATGACCTCTCATAATCTTGCAGACAGTACAAAGGCAGAGTACCTTAACTTCCAAATAAGGGCCAAAGGTCAAGTTGAGCACAAACTTCAAAGTAGATGAATAACTTCATTTTTTTAAAAAAACACAAAGAATTGCCACACTGACTGTAATTCATTTAGCTGGAAGACATTATTCTCAGTTCCACAGTCTGGTGAGTTTAGGTCTCTTACCTTTGGTGGCTGCAGTAGAATCACTAATACTGAATGTGGTTTCCTCAAGTAGCTAGATAAGCATCAGGGAAAATAAACCAAAGCAGCTGATGACATCCTTAATATGGCACAGTGGGAACATCTACTCTACTCACAGCGCAGGTTGCATTTCTCAGTCAGGGAGATGCGCAGGTAGCTGTGCCTCCGGCCAAAGTTGTCAGTCAAAAACGCTGAAAAGGGTAGAATGCTGTCATCTCTTAGCCTCACCTGGGGATAGACACAACAGGATAATGTCACAGTGGAACTGATCTGTCATGTAGAAACGGCTGATAATGAGGGCACAGTACCACACCTATGTTTTGTTTTGCCATATTTTGCATCAAACACAAGATTGGGCAGCAGTAGCTCGGTCCATAGGGACTTGGCTAAGGAACTGGAGGGTTGCAGTTCAAGACTCTATATAGACAAAGTATGGGGTGTGGGCTGGTAGCCTCCTGGGCACTGCTCGGGGTGCTTGTCCATGGGTAGCCCCTTCCTCTGACATATCTCCATTCAGTGCATGTGTATGGGTCCTGTTTGTGCATGCGTGTGTATTTTGGGCCTGTGTGTATGTAATAATAACGGACTGAAAAAAAAACTGTTTTTCCCTCGGGATAAATTAAGTATGTCTTCTTCCGTTTACACTATCGTTACATTGATTTTATCCTTGTTCATGTATTGTCAAAGAATACTGGTGCATTACAAAACAGTGCAACCATTTATAGTTTTTGCAAGGCACAACACACCAGGGCCAAAGTCTGGGGAAAACACTGGGGCAGAAAATCCTGAATTGGCTATATCTAAATAAAAGTATTGACACATCAAAATGTTAGTCTCACCGAGGGCTTTGCACATGCCTGTCATAACCTTTGACTGTCAATAGCGGCCTGCTGTTGTGTCACATGTTATCAGCGTAACACCAAGCATGTTACTACTACTAAAGTAAATCACAGGAGCCAGTCAGATACTGAATATTTATGCATCCCTATTTATTCTGTGTAAAGGACTTGTAACAGTAATGTGAGGATAACAATGTAAACCAAGTGGTAATCATTCCAAAGGTTAAAAAAAAAAATCCACTCTACAGCAGCCATCTTTACTTCTCAGAAAGACCCCATAAAATCCTTTGGGAAAATACTTTGCTAGTTCATTCACCCTGTCACTGATAGTGCCTGCCAAGACAAGTTAGCTCGGCTGAACAATGAACTTCACACTGCATTGGCTGTCTGTTTATCTGCTGTAATGTAAGTAAATAACATCCTAAGGTAAAGGCATGCTCCACCATGAAATAAATATGAATCTAACTTAGTTGAACTGCTGTTAAAAAACACTTTATATAACCATGTTACACCAGTGTCATAGTGGTGGTGCTGGTTTAATATTTAGTCCCCAGCAGTTAGCTAGTTAAACCTTTATTGCTCCCATGGACAGAGATTGTAGCAACATTACAAACTGCTAACCTTACTCATTAATTACCAGTTGGCTAGCAACTCCAGTAACTTAACTAGCCTGAGATTAGACATAGTGAAAACCTCAACACCGAGTACAACACCGAGACGACAGTGTCTGTGAGTCAGTATTATGTTAGCCTTACCTGTCTTGACTTAGTTTTGAGAGCTGAGGCGAAGTTAGGAGCAGATGAAGCCGAGTCTCTAAGTTCAAGTTCATTTTCCTTGTGCGTAGCACCTGAATACAGACGCTGGGTATTACCGCTTACGCACTGGACGAGGAGTTTTCTTAAATGTGTTAAGCTGGTATGTCTGTCGAATAAGCGACAGCACAAGCTAGCGTGTGTAGCCATGGTGTTATAGTCTCACAGCTCCAAGGTTTTATATGGTTATTTTCGGGGCTCTCGGTGTGTGTGCTCCTCTTGCTCTGCAGTAAAACATGCCAGTTAACCAGGAGGGAGGGATAAGGGGCGGGGTCACGTCAGCCAATCGTACCATCTTACGCAGGTGCCGGTGCACTCTGGGTAGTGTAGTGTGGTTGACGTTATCGTTTCAAAGAACTTAGTGAGACATTAGAGCTTTTTATTTTTCATGATCTTCATTTTTATTATGCTTTAATTTTTGTTTTCAGTTCAGTTTAGTTACAGTTAGTTCCCTGGGTGCGTTATGTGTTTGTTATTCATTTCTTTTTGTTTTATTTAGTTATATCATTATTAGTTTTTTATTATGAGGGGCATTTGTCAGGGGCAAGATTTATTTTAGACATTAAAAGATATAACACTTCGTGAAGGCAATTGACTCACAGCCTCCTAATGCTTACTGTGTTGACTAAATTGACAAAGACTACAACTAAAGACATTTCCCATGTATTTTTATTTTATTTTATATAGTTAGGCTGATCTTGTAAGTACACAATATTATTTCAGTTAGTTTCCTTCTTTTTTCATATTTATTTCAGTTAGCTAAAATGTTTTTTCACATGTAGTTCTTGATTTGTTTTAGTTAACTATAATACCCTTTCTCTGGAGTCAGCAAAATGTTAAAGGACACATTTTAGGGTGTGTGCCCCAAAGAAGCTCACACGTTACATGTTCCCTCAAATCGGGTCCTTTATGCAGTGACCAAGCGCCATAGTTGACCTGAGAAAGGCTGGCTTTCTGTGTCTGAATGATATGAAGAAGTAATTTGATTTCCATTTAAAGAATAATTCAAGAAACAATTAAAATTGGATTATTGTTCCTATCCTCTTTTTTCAATGCTCCTCTGCTTGATGTGCTATTCATAAACTCTAGTGGCATATTAGGGCAATCACAGACCCCAGTGTTGCATTGGGATCCTCACATTAAAGGATTTCATTTTACATGTTTGAAGCAATAGTTTGCTGGAAATGTAAGACAGCACAGAACAAACATAAATACATTACACAGACAGGTTTGTATTATGGAGGGATATTTATGTGAGAATAAAAGTTAAATAAATATGCCTGAGACATATATGTGTGTCATTGTCTCTTAGTATGTGTGTAAGTATATGCACAGTGCACTTAATCACAGTTACAGATAGCTCATCATATTCAGAATGAAGGTATCTTGGAAACATAAAGGCATTGTTGGAAGAACGGTCACAGAGCACAGAAATATTCTTCTAGGAGTGTCACTGCTGATCAAGGAATGGAGCTCATTCATCTGCTGATACTGATGGTTTCTAACTCACACATAGAAATTCAAATATATATGTGCTTCTTTTTCCAGAGCCCCAGTTTGTACCTTTTGCCCACAGAAACACATGATCCTCACGTCATGTGACCAACATTTCATACTTCAGTCATGTGATGGCAACTGAACCCATCAATTGGACAAACTCCATGTGCTGATGAGGGCCAAGAGATGTGGTTGAAAGCTGTGGAATCTTTTTTGCTATTCTTATCAAACTACAATGCCCAAGATCATAAGTTTAATGTGATGAAAGGTTTTAAAACAAAATGACTACACAAACATTGTGTGCATATTCAATTCAGTTCAACTCAGTCCAATTCAATTCAGTTCAATTCAATTCAATTCAATTCAATTCAGTTCAGTTCAGTTCAGTTCAGTTCAGTTCAGTTCAATTCAATTCAATTCAATACAATACAATACAATAAAGTACAATTCAATGCCTTTATTGTCATTGTCACTGTACAATGAAATTAGGTGTCTCCAGTGGTACATACACAAACCTTACATTCAAGCAGACACATTAAGACTATATACATAGATAAAAGCAAGCACTTGGGTACAAGCTTTTCGTGAATCTGGAAATGCTTATAGAGCACTGCCGCGCCTTCCAGAGGGCAGCAGGGTGGAAAAAGTGGTGACCTGGGTGAGATGAGTTGCTAATGATGGTCCGTAAATGTCCTCTGGTGATGGTAACTGAGTGCCAGTGATTTGTTGTGCTGACTTTATGAGTCTCTGAAGAGCTTTCCTGTCTGCTGCTGTGCAGCAAACAAACCACACCAACACCTCCCTTTTTGGAAAGCGTTCTCAGAGCAGTTATGAAAAGACAGAAGCAACTGCTGGGACAGGTTGGCTTTTTTCAGTGTCCCGAGGAAACAGCCTCCACAGTGCCTTCTTAACCAGGGCAGTGGTGCGTTAGAGTCCATAAGAGATCCTGGGAGATGTGTGTGCTATGCTCAAAAATACGACCAAAATATATTTGCACGTTTAATTTGGAACATTTACTGGAAATTACAAAGAAAATCACATTTTTAACAAACAAGTAAGAACGTTTATTCTACAGGTGCAATGCACAAAAATCCTAGCCACAGACATGTAACAGAACCTCTCTCCTACATAGCATAACAACCCACTCCAATAGATATAAAACAAAAAAAATATCAGGTCAGTCTTCAAGTCACAGGTAGGCCATTCAATATTAAGGGATCAGGACCAAAAAAACAAATATGATTGGGACAGCTCCACTCTGTGAACAAGACAAGTTTAAAACAGTCTCTTCAAACAGAAGTTCTATAGTGGCCCCATGACCCCTGGTCATGGGCGGATTATGAGACAAAGGGCCCCTGGGAACAGATATGCAAAAGGCCCCACCATCTCTCTTACACAAGAGTGAGGCACACAGACTTTGTGGTGGTTTTGCATCTTTTCGTGGTCTTTCTGTGGTCATTTTGTGTCTCCTTGGCTGTTCTGTGTCTCTATGAAGTAAACTGTGTCTTTTTGTAGTTTTGTGTGTCTTTTTGTGTCTCCTTGTGGTTGTTTTTGCGTCTCTATGTGGCCGTTTTGTGTCAGTTTGTGGTTGTTTTGCTCCTTTTTGTAGGTAATTTGTGTCTCTTTGAGGTAAATTTGTGTCTCATTGAGGTAATGTTGTGTCTGTGGTGTATTTTTGTGTCTTTTTTGGTTGTTTTGTCCCGCTGTGTTGTTATTTTGTGTCTCCTTGTGGTTGCTTTGTCTCCTTGAAATTGTTTTTTTTTTTCTCTTTGCAGTCGTTTTGTGTCTCTTTGAGCTTGTTTTGTCTTTTTGTTGTTGTTTTGCCCCCTTTTGTAGTTATTTTGCGTCTCTTTGCATCCCTTTATGGTCATTTTGTGGTCATTTTTAGTGTGCCCCTGATCGATACTTGTTAATTTGAGTGACATCTTGAAGGTGAAGGCAAGGGGGGGCCCTTACACTTTGGGCCGCTGGGCTGGTGCACAGTTCAGTAATCCATCCATTCCCCTAATTCGACATGCCCGGTGGGTCTTTTCATCAATCCTTCCATGAATAAACAAGTACATGCCATAGAACAGCATGAATGCTTTAATAATGTAAAAATCGAAGTCCATGAGCTAAATAAAGCTGGAAAATAAAGTCTGATGTGGCTGTAGGTTTTAAAGCAAGTAGGCCTACGTGTGTATTGCATTGTGCTATGCTCACCATCTTGCTGTCTCTGCATTGGAAGCATACTGATTGTAGCGTGCAGAGTGTCCACTAGATGGCAGTACAATTTAGATTTTCTTTTTTAGTGTGTAACCCTTATACAGTCTATGGTGTAAACAACACTAAGGCATTTAGAAAGGAAACAAACAGACTGGTTTATGGGTTTGTTATTGGTGTCATTTTTTTGGAAGAACTTTTAGCATAATCAACATATCTTATACATGATGACAGAAAATAATGGATTTGCTGTGTAAAATAAACCTTACATCAAGGAGGGTATCAAGGTGACTACAACAGACAGTCATGACTGCAGAGGGAATCATTAGCACCAACCTGCCCTCCAGTCAGGACTTATACTCCTTCAGAGTCAGGAAATATCTGAGCAGACTCTTCACACCCTGGACACAACCTGTTTATTGTTTACTGTTCTCATGTATATAAAGCAACCATACTTACACCAGCACTCTTTGTATATGAAAACAATGTATGTATATACTGTATACATGTTTATGTATGGTTATGTTTTCCTTTGTTCAGCTTTGTTGTCCTCGTTTTAGCAGTATATATATTTCTGTGTGTATAAAAAATAACTGAGTCAAATGCCTTGTATGTGTAGGCCTACACACGTACTTGGCCATCAGAACCGATTCTGATTCTGAATGTTCTGGCTGTAAAATTCCAGTGTGGCAAAGCATTTTGGCAAATGCAACTGCAGTAATTTCATGCTCCTGGAAATCCAGTCCATATTTGTGAAAAGTAACAACTCTCTCCCGGAGCTATAAATAGCAGAACCAACTGTTGGATCCGCGGAGTGTTTCTGCTTCCTGATGAGGGGTATTGTACTCTAATCAACACACCTCACTTAGACTAAAAAGCTGTTTGTCTGTGGTATATATTTTAACAACAGTCCTGCTGGGAAATAAGTATCTCCATTTCTACAATATGTGCATTATGAGAGTGTTGTTTGCCTGAACAATGTCGTACCACACAAAAATAATCTGCAAAATCAAAATTATGAACCACAAATAGGTGATCTGCAAAGTCCTGGTTTATATAAATCATGTGCAGCGAGGCGAGATGAGCTCACGACCGAAAACAAAACCTGTTTATCTGGTATTCACATTGTTGTACCAATGATTTTCCTTTTTCCTCGACAGTGAGTTGAATCATATTCTGATGGAGTTAGTGCAGAATGATATAACAGGGGCTCCTTCAGTGCTGAACAATGAACCAATGTGTTATTTCATGCATCAAAATGTTACTGCAAGTCAAATCGATTTAATGACACTGCAAACAAACCTCTAGTTTGGAATCAAGTTCTATCATTTTTCCTTTCATAGGATTATTATTATAAGATGTGTAATAAGATAACTGCCAAAATGGCCAAAATCTCTTTTTAGACGAAATGTAATGGAAATCAAGTTAATTCTTGGAGACTCATGTTCATGCACCAAATGAGAAATTCTGGCTTTCCACCAGCCTGCAGGCGATGTCCTTTCTGAATTTATGCTTTCCATTGTGTTACAGATGTTCATAATTAA